GGGGGAAGAGGGAACGAACTTGAACTGACTCCAGACAGAATCGTAAATCCGAACCCCGAACTCTATCGCAAAAATCATTAGCAACACAGCAACAGGTTGGTTGGTGTGCAACGTTTTACAGTCTCCGCATTAACCGCATTCCCTTGTACATGATAACAATAGCAAATAAATACGGTAGAGGGACGGCTACATATGTAGAAAGGAAGGACGATGATAGGTATAGTTTAGTTTAGTTTTTAGTTGTAGTAAGAGTTTTCCGGCACTTGCAACACAATAAGGTCATATAGGTGTCGAAGATTTGAGGTGTCACAAGAGAGTAACAAACACAAAAAGAAGGAGGGGAGATATAGACGATGATGGGTGTGGAGAGTTTGTTTTGTTTGAGTAAAAAGATGCACATCGACACAATAATGGTCAGTTAGTGCTGGGGAAAAGTTAGACAGAGGAAAGGTAAAGAAGTAGGACCTACCAGTACCAGTGGCGCCCTCCAAACCACCTGCTGGGTATTTTAGTTTTAGTAGTGGTTTTACGGCGCTCGCAACTGCCTAAAGTCATATGAGCGCCAGAAGATTAGAGGTGTCACAAGAGAGTAACAAACATAAAAAAAGAAGAAGGGGAGATAAGGGCGATATATGTTTGATAGGAAAGAAGGAGCAAACCACACCAGAGCACCCGCCAACCACCCACTCCTGCTGGGTATGGAGAGACGGGAAGGACGAAGTTTTAGTTTTAATTTTAGTAAAAGTTTTACGGCACTTGCAACACAATAAGGCCATACAAGTGCAGAAGATTAGAGGTGCTACAAGAGAGTAACAAACATGAAAAAGAAGGAGGGGAGATAGAGACGTTAGGCTTTTTATAGGAAAGAAGGAGCAAACCACACTAGAGCACCCGCCAACCACCCATCGGGAAGGACGAAACAGTTGCAATGACAAGAGGGCCATAAAGACATGACATGCGTTTACGACATGGTGGCATTAGCCTGCGGCGACCTAGGACGGACAGACCTCGTAAATAATTCAACCACGCACAACTAAGTCCGGCAGCTCTTATATTGGAGTGATGTGATATCTCTCCCCATCTACACAAGAGATGGGCGCGAGGCTGGAAGGACAGTGGTAGTAGTGGACTCATTAGTTTTCTGGTATATGAAACTGGTGGAAGAAATCTGAGCATTATATCAGTCAGAAGTCAGCCCCATTGTTTTCAGGGTTTGTTCATGGGGTGGGGGGTGGGGTGGGGGGTTGGGGTCAGTTATGAAAAAAGTACAATGTGTATTTATCTGCGTGTTTCATCTATTCATTTGCTTGATGACAAACACACACACACACACACAAACACACACACACACACACACACACACACATACACAGAGAGAGAGAGAGAGA